GGAGCAAACGCCTGGCAGCGCAAAGTCCGCAATTTGTTACTCACGTTTGTCCAATCCCACTCGACTTGAGAAGATTATGACACCTTGATTTCACATCTCCAAGCAGAAAGTGCTTCTGCCGACCTTGCCTCAGAGCTTGCAGCACACACAACCGCGAGTCACGACAGCAAAATCCGCTTCCACCATAAGTACAACTCACCTGGAGCTTCCTCCAGCGCCGGCTGGCAGTCGAGCCACGTGACAGCAGATAAGGCCTAACGCGCGGGGGCATTTTGACAGACACGCCATGGCCACCATGGCTTCACTGAGAAGATGTGGGCTGTCTGGCCGTGGGCCAAGTTGCAGTCTAAGAAGTTTTCTCGTGCATGTGGACTGGGCACAGCCGAAGTTCCGTGCCCTGCACCAGTCGGAGTGACACATGCTTCACCATTGGCCATCAGTGGCAACACTGATCCCCTGGTCATGCTTTCAGGGTCCTTGGGAGCGTTAGAGACCGACTCGGTATTTTAGAGAGGGATGACCATAAGATGTCAAAAGTAACCCTGTAGGCCCTTTCCGCCATAAAGTGTAAGCCATTAAAGGGGTGCTGTGGGCTTCATGTCGACAAAGCTGTGCGCTGGCTTGTGCCCTTGATGTGTCTGGGTTTGGAATGTGTAGGGTTGGCCCGGGGCTCCTTTAGTCCGCATGGGCGTTGTGATTCTGAGGAAATGTCGTCGCAGCTGGAGGCCGCACTAAGTCGTTTTACGGGGTCTTGTGCAGGGATCCAAGGCCAGATCACTTTTCAGGGTTGGTCACCTCTTCGAGGAATCATGGGCAGAAGCATGGATGCCTCGTGCGTCAGGAAAGCTCAACGTGGTGCAGCTGAAGCTGCTTATGCCTTGCACTGAGAGTTTGCAAAGGCATGTCTCCTTCACAATGAGGAGTGAGTACTGCTGGGACTGCTAAAGCCTTTCGCCGAAAAATGCTGGGTCAATTCAAGGAATTAGCTTTCTTTTGAGGCTTGTACCGGAGCCAGACCAAAGCCATAAGGGCTTTTTCGTTCGCACCCAGGCGAACATATCCTCGAGCTGCCAGCGCTGGGCGTTGATCTCCTTGGTTCTCGCGTGACGCCGAGACCCTGCAGTCCTTCTGGTGAACCAACTGCCCACATCCTAAACCCTAAGCACCTGAACCTCTCACAGACGCACCGTTTTTCTTAACAGGTGATGTCCCTAAGCCAACGTGTGGCTCACTCTCGCGTATGGACCACCAGAGCTGACAAGAGAGAAGTGTAGGACGAGGGTGGAAGGCATCGGAGAGTGGGAGCCGAATTTTGTCCTGCGTGTGGCAGTCAGGTCTTCCATGCGATTCATCTGCTAGCTTTTGATGCGTGACTGCGAGAATGGGAACACGACACGATTAAACTGTTGATGCTTGGTGCGTTCGATCAGAGTGTAATAAGTAACCTGTCGTTTCCAACGGCAACACTTTACCGATTGTGATTGAGCCAGAATGACTCAGATGTGGGGTTCTTGTGACCGTGCTCGGTCGCCTCAATAGCTCTGGCAGCTGATGCTTCATCAGCGTTTGTTCGAGCTCTTCTACCAGTGCTGCAGCGCTGACGATCTGCATGTGGCAGCTTCGTGGGAATGATCTCGGCTTTTGCTTGCTCGAGGCTCCCTGAAGGCGGCTTTGGGAAGCACTTCTTACAAGGTGCCAGTTGCGGTTGCCCACCTTGTGTTTGCGACCCCAGCTCAGAGCAAGTTGTGATTTGTCCTTGGCAGAGGACATTCCGGAGCTCGACCTCTCAAAACTTTATGATGTGCCTCCAGGCCTGCCTGCATTTCCTGATGACTGACAGAGGCTTTTTGCAACTTGAAGCCAGGATATGAATCCAAGCACGACCTTGTCAGGGCCTTTTGAGAGCGTGATCTTTCAGTTGCTGCAGCACCAGTGCATGGTATATCTATATGTATGCCAGCACCTGTATCTGCGACATGATGCCAGGAAGTTTCGTCCTCAAAGCCCGTGCAGCTCCGAAAGAGCAGCGGGCTGGCCCCTGGACAGGACCGCAGCGTCATTTTTACAGCCGTTGCCGTTCTTGCTTTCTTGGGCGACCTGCTGCCGGCTGGATGCTTTCTGCAGGCAGTCGCCACAACACTCCAATCCAAAACGCTTTGCCCTCGTCTCGTGTGGTGGTGCTGCTTATGCCTTGCAGAGGCATAGCCAAATAATCCCGCGGCCAGATACGATGAGCAAAGGGCATGCGCCACATGTGTGAGCTGTTCTCTGCGTTTCTAATGAGGCAGCAACCTACAGCTACATCTCCACAGCGCAAGCCACATGCACCCCCTGCCCAAGCACAGGCTGGATTCTCAGCAATGTATTCGGGACTCCTGCTCATCTCCAGTGCCATAGGCAACGCCACCTCCGCCACCTCCGCCGCCTCCGCCTCCACCTCCGATTCTTTTGCAGAAAATGACATCTAAGTGCCTGCATCTTAGAGTCGCCGGCCCCAGGTGCATTCTGCTTTATGGCACGTAGCCCTGGTAGGTCCAGTCCGTGGTGAGCGAGTAAAGAGTGCCGGAGCCTTATACATGCTACCAAAATCGCGGGGGGGTTAGGGTTTAGGGTTTAGGGTTTAGGGTTTAGGGTTTAGGGTTTTTTGAGTCATGTTTAGCTTCCAGGCTAGCGACAAACCATCCAGCGGGACTTCGCCGCATGCCCAGCAAAGGAGAGAGGCGTGGAGAGCCGCTCTGAATATGGGGGTTTCCGGAATTGGGGGGGTGCCTTATGGGGCTGTTCTACTAGACTCTTACTATTTCGGAGTATATTAGGGGTCCAAGATTTGCGTAAAGCCCCATATGTCTCACTCATGCACCAAGGCCGCACCATGCCGAAACTGCTGACGATGGACAGCGGAAAGGGTTCCCCAGCTTGTCACATGTTTTGGACATCAGTTCAGATTGTTTGCGACTTGTGGCGTTTGTCGTGTGGTGTAAGTTTCTGTCACGGTGTTCCTGTTGCAGGCTGTCTGATGCCAAAGACCTTTGCATCAGCATCGGCAAGTCTGGCGCATTTGAGAAGAAGCTTGGAGAGCTGCTCTTGGAGTGGGTGGAGCATGCTCACGTGCAGAGATACTGGGCCACCAACGACAGGAAGCTCATGTGGCGGAGTAACCTGCGAGAATCGTGGCACCAACCTCGAAGAGGCAGATTGTACAGAACCTCTATACACTAGAGTCACTAGAACCGTTAGATGCAGTATGGCACACAGTATGGCCTTTCTTCACAGGCAAGTCGGTGCACGGCAAGGCAGGCTGGGAGAGGGGCTGGACCTTTGCGACCTTTCGAGACTGCACTGCTGATAAAACGGTTATTATGTGGGCGTTTACGAAAATAGGGGACGTCGGAAACCATCGGGAGTGGCTCAGTGCTCATGTTGACGCGTGCAGGACCACAGTGGGAATGCGCTTGGCGCATGAGAGCTCAGAGAGGGGGGCTCAGTGCAATTTTTGATACGCCCGATTGTATCTTAGCTTATCCCCTAGCATATCCATCTCCCCTGCTATCCCCGTGTGAGTGTGCCCAACGAGTGAGTCGCATTTCTGGCAATTGCAGGAAGAGTTCTTGGGCGGCTCCTGGATATTGTATGCTTTAATACTGCGATGTCGGATGCTGTCTTTGCAGTTCTGTCGAGTGCCTCTATGGGTTGTTCATTGCGTTCACTTGGTTGACGGCACGGTATTTGTTTCGAGAGATGCTGTGAACAGGGCGCGACCTTACCCTCTATGCCGTGGTCTCGCTCCATGTGCTTCGGACTGAACGATTCCATGAGGTGGGGACACACTAGCTTAGGCGCTGCGCACCGTGCTGCAATGTGCTGGTCAGATCCCCCGCTGCGCTTGGCCTAGGCGCTGAAGGCCACGGAGGCGGCGCCCGAGCCGTCGAAGAGCACAGGGTTCTCCTATGAATTCCTATTCGGCTCCGATCGTGTATATGGCCGATGAGATGAAGAGAAAGAAAGCGTAACATGGGCAGCTTTAACCTTTGAAACCCCTCCTTCACTCCACAAGAGTCGTTCAGAAACACAGCCGAAGTCGGATTTCGAATCGAGGGCTCTCAATACCGGATATCCATGGATAACCCGCCTTCTTCTTAGTTCTTATAGGCCCTCAAGAATGCAAAGCCACAACCCACCCCCTAAGCACCCTTCATAAGCCCCCCGAAATCCCCAAGCTTGAAACCCTAAGCCGTGAGGCAGTCGGTGTGGGAGTGCTGGGCTCAGTCCTGAGAGGGGGGGACGATTTCAGTATTCCTGGGGCCTCTTGTGGAGAAGGGTTTTTAGGGTTTAGGGTTTAGGGTATATCAAGCTCCTGACTCTCCTTCTTCGGAGAAGCCCCAAGCATCCCCAAGCCCCCGAAACCGGAATCTGTCGCAGCTGTGCAGCATTTGTGCCTCAAAGATCCGCTTTTCGCCCGGTGAGCGCCCGAAGAGCATGCCTGCGAAAGACCGCGCCTCAGGTTTTGGGTTGGCGGGCGTAAGTGGGAATTTTTCTCCTCTGGAAATATTTCCAAACTGGGCGACCCTTGTCAAACAAACTTCACATGCGCAAGCTCGCATGCTTATCCTTGTATTCAGTGTTTGTGTTTCTTTGTTTGTCTGTCTGCTTTTTTGTTTTGCCGAAGGTGCGGGAAATCTAGTGCTGGTGCTGTTAGAGGGGTCTTGTGGTCTTTTGTAGAGTGGTCTTGGGCAACTCGCAGGTTTTGCATCAGAAATGCACGCAAAGGCAACCCACAACGCCATAAGTGCCCCCTTCGCGAAGGGACGTCATGGCTGCCGTGCCTGGCCTTCGTTGGTGTTCATCAGCATTGCCTCGACGTGCCTGGGAGAGGCTGTGGACATTTTTGGATGCCCAGTAAAGAGATGGCACGAAAAGCAAGAACCATTGGCTGAAACGGTATTCTTCCTGAGAAGTGTTGCAGGAGCTTGTGCCCCGAATCTGCTCAAGGTTTACTAGACATGTGCATTGGCAGTTGGTTCCTTGTAGATGCCCCTCACGCTTTAGGCCATAGCCCAGAATGGAAACTCTGGCAGGTCACCTTGGAGATGTCAGGGTGCAGTTTCGAGATCGATACTTGCGTCTGGCTCAACACAGGCAATGCCAGCTGGCAGCGTGCCAGTGGCCAGTCCGTCGATGCATGGTTGGAGGCTGAAGGCAACGCCTCCGACGGCCAGCTTTTCATCATCGAGACCCCTATGTTGAATGCCACCACCGCAGAGAAGGCTGTGGTCTTTTCTTACATGATGACTGGATCGAGCTCAGTGTCCTTGGAGGTGGAGCACAAGACAGAGTTCGCTGGCTGGTCGACCTTGTTTTCGGAGAGCGGAGACACTGGCGAGGCTTGGAAGGGTGCCGCCATCCGAGTGCCCGAAGGCACTGTTGGCCTTCGGCTTCTGGCCAGTGCTGGCGTTGGCGCCGTGGTCAAAGTGGATTCGATTTTGGCTGTGGAAAGAGCCGATTGGGAAAGCATTGGTTGCACCTTCGAGGTTGACTTCTGTGGGTGGTCCCGTAGTTTTGAGAACCAGTGGCGCGCCCAGCGGGGCCCAACCGCAACAAGTTTCACTGGGCCTCCAGAAGGGGCTTTCGAGGGGGACTGGTACATTTACACGGAAGCTGATAGCACTTACAACAAGGCAGGGCTTTGCCGGGCGTTGTTCCACTTGACTTCACCAGTTTTTGCCCTGCAGGTGGGCACACATTCCACACACATGATCAGTGGTAGTGCTGATCTGCTTCTTGATTCTCAGCACAAACTGCACGGGAGCCAGGACAGCTTGGATCCTTTGACGTAACAAACTGTTTGAAATTTGTTAACAAAGCACTGCACCCCATCCGATTGCAGGCCTTTTCCCTGACATCTCCGATGTGTGAGCGCAGCAACGTGACGAGGCATCTTCGCTTTGTTTACAACATGTTTGGCGGAGGCATGGGAAGCTTGCGGTTAGAGTCTTTGGGAAGCAGCCGCTGGACAACGCTTTGGCTGCGAGCAGGTAATCGAGTTCCGCGCTGGGAGCCCGACTACGTTGTCATTCCGCAGGATGCAGAGATGCTGCGGTTCGTGGGCGTCACGGGCACTGGGAGGTTCATGGCACTTAGTAACCAATTATAACTGTACTTATACCTGTACTTAGAACCCTATTGGGGCACTTAAGTGGCTTATGAGGTGGGTTATAAGTACAGTTATAATTAGTTACTAAGTACCATGAACCTCCAAGCAACACAAGGGAAAGCGACATCGCTCTGGACGCCATCGGTGTTGCTGTCGGCGTACCCGTTCTGGACCTCGAAAACATCGCCTGTGGTTTTGCATTGGACACGTGCAGATGGCTCAACACAGGCAATGCCAGCTGGCAGCGTGCCAGTGGCCAGTCCGTCGATGCATGGTTGGAGGCTGAAGGCAACGCCTCCGACGGCCAGCTTTTCATCATCGAGACCCCTATGTTGAATGCCACCACCGCAGAGAAGGCTGTGGTCTTTTCTTACATGATGACTGGATCGAGCTCAGTGTCCTTGGAGGTGGAGCACAAGACAGAGTTCGCTGGCTGGTCGACCTTGTTTTCGGAGAGCGGAGACACTGGCGAGGCTTGGAAGGGTGCCGCCATCCGAGTGCCCGAAGGCACTGTTGGCCTTCGGCTTCTGGCCAGTGCTGGCGTTGGGGCTGTGGTCAAAGTGGATTCGATTTTGGCTGTGGAAAGAGCCGATTGGGACAGCATTGGTTGCACCTTCGAGGTTGACTTCTGTGGGTGGTCTCGTGGTTTTGAGAACCAGTGGCGCGCCCAGCGGGGCCCAACCGCATCAAGTTCAACTGGGCCACCAGAAGGGGCTTTCGAGGGGAACCGGTACATTTACACGGAAGCTACTCGCGCTTTGAACAAGGCAGGGATTGTCGGATGTTGCTCGCTGGAATTATGTGCGCGCATACAATTCACATGCATGGCCGGGCCTAGAACTGAGAGGAATCAAGTGTTGATAGGGTCTTGCCAGGCGACGGACGTCTTTTTGAAGGGGTACTAGCGACGTGCGGCGAACATCGGCGAATGGGGTAGCGACCCACAATCGTGCCAGCGTAGAGGTGTGCACATGAAGCGTTTCATGGTTCCTCTGGCGCGTACTGCCCGAAGCAGTGCATCCAGCTCTTGTTTGTTGACACGAGATGTGAAAAGAAAAAAAGGGCTTTCTTTGCAAGAACTTAAAAGAGCAACAGGCGAGGAATGGGCAGCTCGGACTTGGAGCAGATCCCGGGTTGGCCGCGACGTTCTGCAAGGGTTTAGGGTTTAGGGTTTAGGGTTTAGGGTTTCTCTGCCAAAAAAAATACCTCGCAATGAATTCGCGAGCTCGCTCTGGGGTTGGGCACTCCTCCAGGGACTTGGGGCACCAGGGACTCTCTGGGATTCTGTTGGGTGCAGTCCTGAGAACTCTGGGGCTGGGAGCGCTATGCATGGGCTTTTGGGATCTTTTGGGCATTCTGGGGACCCTTCCAAAACTCTTTGGGGATATTCTGGGGTTGGGCATGTGAGAGGGCCGGTGAGTGGCCGGTGTGCCCAGGGCTGTCCTTAGTATCCAAAGTCCGGGCCTTATATTCCTCCGGGAAATCCCATGCGTGGTCACTTACACCTTCAGCGCATCTGCATCACACCAGTTTTCGCCCACACATTCTGCTTCTAATGTCGCAACATTTCTCAACACAAACTACGCGAGAGCCAGGACAGCTTGGATCCTTTGACCCCTGCAGGACTTTATGATGACATCTCCGATGCTTGAGCGCAGCAATACGACGAGGCATCTTCGCTTTGTTTACAGCATGTTCGGCGAACACATGGGAAGCTTGCGGTTAGAGTCTTTGGGAAGCAGCCGCTGGACAACGCTTTGGCTGCGAGCAGGTGATCGAGCTGAGCGCTGGGAACTCGAGTACGTTGTCATTCCGCAGGATGCAGAGATGCTGCGGTTCGTGGGTGTCACGGGCAGTGGATTCAGAAGCGACATGGCTCTGGACGGTCTCGATGTTGGTTTCGGCCTACCTGTTCTGGGCATAGAACACCTCGCCTGCGATTTTGCATTGGACACGTGCAGATGGCTCAACACTGGCAATGCCAGCTGGCAGGGTGCCAGTGGCCAGTCCGCCGATGGGTGGTTGGAGGCTGAAGGCAACGCCTCCGACGGCCAAGTTTTCATCATCGAGACCCCTATGTTGACTGTCACCGCAGAGAAGGGAGTGGTCGTTTCCTACATGATGACTGGATCGAGCTCAGTGTCCTTGGAGGTGGAGCACAAGACAGAGTTCGCTGGCTGGTCGACCTTGTTTTCGGAGAGCGGAGACACTGGCGAGGCTTGGAAGGTTGCCGCCATCCGAGTGCCCGAAGGCACTGTTGGCCTTCGGCTCCTGGCCAGCCTTTCTACATGGGAAAAGGCGAAAGTTGGTGCGATCTCCGTTGCAAATGTTGTGTCCAGCTTCGCAAATCTGACCTGCAGCTTCGAAGTCGATCCTTGCGGGTGGCTCTCAAGAACTGGTATGTGGCTGCAGTTCGGTGGGCCGCATTTTTTTTTGCAGGGCCCCGACGCAGGCTTCCGCAGCGACTCTTACATGGCTACCGGCCAAGCTGACGGCGATCCGACTCTGCAGGTAGGAATGAGTGGCGATGTGGCTCCACAGGCAGGGCTAGCAAGCAAGGCGGTTTTTTTGGCGGTGTGCAAATCGCTCTTATAGATGGGAGGTAGCTTTCTGCTGTGCCAAAGCTTGCGAATGATGGGGAGAGCTTGCGGTAGTTGTCGCATGTTCGCCCTCACAGGCCGTCCTTGAGAGTCCCATGTTCCCTGCGGCCGCCAGCGAGTTCTACTTGGGGTTTGCTTATCGCATGTCGGGTAGTGCGATAATTCGCATGGAGTTGCAGTGCCTCCATCGAGGCCATTGGTCACAGATCTGGTCAATGAGTGGTTCTCAAGGCACCGCCTGGCTGCAAGCAAAGGTCACCCTGCCTGCGGGCACGGAGATGCTGCGGTTCGTGAGCGCCTCGCAAGAATGGGAACCTGGAGTGCATGCCTTGGACTCGGTGGTCGTTTGGGTGCCCGCAGGTTCAGGCGCCTGACGGATAAGGAAAGTTGCCAAAGCCTTTCAGTCCCCTCTGCCCTATGTTCGAAGCCTTTCGCTTCCACGATCTTCTACATCAAACCCCCTTCGCAAATAATTACGACCGCGTCTCAAATTTTCATGCTGAAAATGCAATAGCATGCAAAAGCGTATGCTGCTCTCTCGTTCAGGGGGAGCGTTCATGCTTGACTCATGCACGCCAAAGCCTGGAACAAGTCTCTACAGTAGGGTGTAGGACGATGCAGGGATGTGGCAAAAGGCAAATTAGGCAGGACTTCGACATGCGAAAAAGAGAGAGACTTCAAAGACCATCCGCAGGTCCAATGCCTCCGGTTCCCTTCTCACTGCATCGAGGATGGGATCAGAACTGTGCCGTCGTCTTCACGCGTGGCGTGAAGTCTCTGAAGTGCTGGGGAAATGGCAATAATGGCAAAAATGGCTACGGCAACACCGACAGGATCGGCGACGGCCCTGGGGAGATGGGCGCCAACCTTCCCTTCGTGGATCTGGGTGGCAAGCAGCCAGTGAGTGTGGGTTGTGGCGGCCCTTTCTGTTGTGCTGTTCTCGATGGCGGAGCCGGCCGAGCAGTGAGCTGCTGGGGAGGCAACTACAGGGGCCTGCTGGGGGACGGCTCAGGACAGAACATTGGTGACGAGCCCATGGAGATGGGAATGCATCTGCCCACGGTGGATTTGGGGACGGGAGCCTTTGCGCTCGAGGTCTTCGCCAGTCTTTTTCAGGTCTGCGTGCTGCTGCGCGGTGGCGCTGTGAAGTGCTGGGGACGCGGATACGCCCTGGGCTTGGGCGATACGTGCGTGGCTCAGTTGTGAAGGTGCAGGTACAGACGGGGCACTCTGTGCTTGACATCCCTTGGACCCTGAGTCCTGCCGGCTCAACGCTAAGCCGCTAAGGATGGATCGCGGTGCTGACTCAAACCACATGGGCGATCGGCTCCCCTTCGTCGACCTCGGCACCGACTTCCGCGCTGTGCAAGTCGTTTCAGGGCACCGGCACACTTGCGCATTGTCAAGCCAAGGCAAGGTCAAGTGCTGGGGAATGGGCCCCGCCGTCGGCCTGAACTTCTCAAGCAGGTTTAGTGCCGGTGTGGGGAACTCGCCCAACGAAATGGGCGACCAGTTGCCCTTTTTGGAGTTGGGCCTCGAAGTTCTGCAGATCTCTGCAGGCAGTTACCACACCTGCGCAGACGCTTGCATGCACCATCCCAGCCCTGCCAGTACCATCCCGCCGCATCCTGAAGCATCCTGAAGCATCCTGCAGCCTGCGCCTTAAGCCTGAGCTTGTTTGTTCGAGCAAGTGCAACATCTACTGGAAGCTGCAGGTGCTGGCGGATGAGTCCTTGAAGTGCTGGGGGGAGAACGGGTGGGGCCAGCTGGGCCACGGTAGCACCGACTCTGTACAGCCTTTGGTGGACCCAAACCTCCCGAAGACTCTGCTGGGCAGCGGCGTGTCCGTCATGAAGGTGGCAGCTGGTGGATGGCACACCTGTGCCATCCTGCAAGATGAGACTCTGAAGTGCTGGGGACGAAATTTAAATGGAGAGCCATGACCTGAGTGAGCCTCAGTGCAGTTTTCTTTGCTGCGCAGAGACCTCTGCATGCCTGGTGACTTGAGGCTCGGAGTGGGAACTGGTGTGGAACTCCTGGGCAATCAGCCGGAACACATGGGCGATGCCTTGCACCCCGTCGAGCTGAACAATCTCAGAGTACGCGAGGTGCATTCAGCTTCGACGAATTGCTAGCGAGATTCCCAAAAGATGTTTTATTATTATTATTATTTTTTTCGCGGCCTGCCGTTTCTGGGAGCTTAACTTGTTAGCTCTACTTGTTCTAGCTCTCTGCGACATTCGGCGACCGCTTGTGGTCAGGTCATGGGGGGCGCCCAAGTGACCTGCGTGCGGCTGGAAGATGACAGCGCACGCTGTTGGGGCCACAACAGCAACGGACAGCTTGGCCTTGGGCACACCGAGAACGTCGGTGGTGATCCGCGCGACATGGGATCAGCCCTCATGCCCACCGAGATCTTTGAAACAGAAAAGCTAGGTGCTGGCCTTGAGGGTATGGGTATAGGCAGTATGGGCGAAGGCTCAAGCGAGGGCTGGTTGCTGCTGCAGCACAATGGCTCTTTTGGGCTGGTCTGCGACGACGGCTTCACGGATGCCACAGCGCAGGTGGCCTGAAACTAGCAAGGGTGCTTCGTTGCCTTCATGCTAGGACAGCAAACGAACAGGAAAACAAAAACACCACGTCATCGTTTTCATGCCACAGTGAGCAGATGAACAGATCAAAAAACATCACTAGAGAACGGTTGTTCCTAAACCGTTTTAAAGCCGCAAGACCTATCTAATGTAATGCTTGATAATGAGGAAATCCATCACGTCATCCGTTCATGCATCAGCCATCACGACATCCATCCATGCATCAACGATAACGAAGAGCCTTCCCGAAGACCACCTCCGCTGAAAATCCTTCGCCACGCTTTCGTGGATACAACTTCGCGGAGAAAATCAAAAATCATTCCCGCAATCATGTCATGTGCAGCATGCGCTGACACCCGAGGAAGTGCAAGCGTAAGCCAACTCGACGACGGTTGTTTGTCAGGCGCATGCTGTTATTTCCGGGGAAGCTTTGTGCAAGCACAGCAAGGAGTGTCGTCGGTGCCGAGCCCTTCCGAGCAAGTTCTTCCGAGCGAGCAGCCTCCGTCCTCGGTCTGTGATGGGTCACCTCATATCCAAAACAAGAACTCTTGGGCAACGACGTACAGCAAGGTGCCGTCACTGCCGTTGAAAGTGACCCTCCCATGACAGCGTCAATACGCCGGCAACCTCAGTCAGGCTTTACGATTTCTAGGGTTTCTGTCTGTAGCTCTTCTAGGCCTAGACGGTCTAGACGTGATTCCGAACCGAGCCACGACCATCGTCAGGAACCCTTGCGAAGTGAAGGTAAGCTTGTGAGCACGTATGGTTTTTGGGAGGGGTGTCGCACTCGGCAGCTCACATCAAAGCCCCGCTTTCCACGCGCCAGCACTGCGACACGCCCAGAACACGCAGAGGGTTGTCGCTCGCGGACGAAAGTGCGAACGCTTCCCACGTGCCAGCGCCGCGACATGACACGCCCAGAAACTCGCAGAGGGTTGTCGTTCCCGGGCGAAAATGCGAACGCGTCCCATGTGCCAGCGCCACGACACCCCCGCGGACACGCAGAGAGGGTTAATTGTCGTTCGCGGACGAAAATGCGAACGTTCCCCAGGCGCCAGCGCCGCGACACGCCCCAGGACACGAGAGGGTTGTCGTTCGCGGACGAAAGACCGAGCGCCTCCCGTGCGACATGCTGACATGCCCAGAACACGCAGGGGTTGTCATTCGTGGACGTTATATGTGAAGACCTCCCACGTGCCAGCGCCACGATTCGCCCCAGGACACGAGCACGAGAGGCGAGAGGGTTGTCGTTCGCGAACGAAATGCAAACGCCTCCCAGGCGCCAGCGCCGCGACACGCCCCAGAACACGACGAGAGGGTTGTCGTTCGCGGACGAAAATGCGAACGCCTCCCAATGCCTCTCACCTCCCACACGCCAGCGACGCGACACCCCGCGGACACGCAGAGGGTTGTCGGACGAAAGTGCGAATGCCTCCCACGAGCCAGCGCCGCGACACGCCCCAGGACACGAGAGGGTTGTCGTTCGCGGACGAAAATGCGAACGCCTTCCATGCGCCAGTGCTGCGACACGGCCAGAACACGCAGAGGGTTGTCGTTCGCGGACGTTATAATTATGTGAACACCTCCCACTTGCCAGCGCCGCGACGCCCCGCGGACACGCAGAGGGTTCGTTCGCGGACGAAAATGCGAGCGCGTCCCACGCGGCGGGTCCCGACACCTTGCGAACACGCAGAGGGTTGTCGTTCGCAGACGAGAATGCGAGCGCCTCCCGCGCGCCAGCGCGCTCTTTAAGCAGGTGCGGCGGGTCCCGCTAACCCTACCCAGTGCTTTAACACATGCTAATTTTCAGGAGAAGTCCACGAAATCCATCACGCCAAACATCCAGGCATCATCCATCACGGCATCCCATCACGACATCCATTAACGAAGACTCTTCCCGAAGACCACCTCCACTGAAACCCTCCGCCATGCTTTCGGGAACTTCACTGCTTTCATGCTACAGTGCTACAGAGAGCAGACGAACAGATCAGCGCAGGTGGTTTGCCGGAATCTTGGCATGGCAGGCGGCCGAGCCTTGTTCAGGGACCCCGCCTCCGACCCTTCGCTGGACGAGGCGGTTGCGGCGCTTGCCGAGTCTGAGATCCTGGCCGACAGCCTCGTGTGTGACGGCACGGAAGTCTTCCTGCGGGACTGTAGCTTCCGAGGCGAGCCGGGGAGAACCGGACCCGGAGAGCAGCCGGATAGAACCGGACAGAACCGGGGAGAGATGATGAGAGATGGGCTATGACTCTGTCATGACGGTTTTGGGCTGGAGATGGGGGAGAGGCTTTGTGTTTCGAGTTCTGTTGGCCACTTCCGAGGTTGGCACATCCACGAGTGCACTGCTCGGGAAGCTGCAGGCCCGCTGACTCACGCGTTGCTCTGACCATTTCTGAGAGCGGAGGGCGAGGTTCGTAGGAGCCGGTGGGAGTGGCGATTCGCAGTTAGTGGATTCGTGGCGGTTGGGCACAGGACTTCCTAGTGGTTAAGGATTCATGGGCAAGACTGACAGGTGGGATGCTTTGGGAATTAGTACTAAAACCCCTGTCACCTCTCTCACCCAGTTCTAGCTCCTGTGAAATCCTGTTGTTGGACACGTCTTTGAATAGGATGTTGACCGCCGGCTTAGAGACCAGTCCAACCGCAGCACCCATCACACCTTGAGACCCCATAAAGAGACCAAATTGAACCTCAGAATCCTCAGACTCAACCTGGACCTGTGACTCAGTTCTTGGATTCATCACCCAGTTCACGGACTCACTCTCAAAAGAAGAACTCAAGAAAAGACTTCATTTCAAGGGACTTTGTGGTTGTCATCTTCGCACTTCGTTCCCTTTTTCACGTATTTAATGCACGAATTAAAGCACGCATTGCATTTGTCTTTCATTCGTTCCGTCTTCGTGTGTTATATTCATGCCTTACAAGCCTACATTAATATTGCTCTCTTCATGTAATCGTGGTGCCTTTGGGTCGGATCATGTCCAACCCCTGGGAGTGGTTGTGTGGTGTTGTTTTAGTTCTTGTTTGTTCAATTGTGGTTCTTGCTTAGAGGCGCGCGGTGCCAGCTGGATGCCTGGAGCGAGTACATGGTGGCAAATGGCCCTGGGCGGCGCCAGGACCAGAGCATGGTCTGGGACCCGGACACTTCGTCAGCTCTGATGTTTGGAGGCCACGCGTCCAACACCTTCCAGTACTTCAATGACCTCTGGCAGTTCCACTGGCCTTTGCGAAGCTGGGCCGAGCTGCAGCCAGATTTTCCAGGTCCGTCGCCCAGATTCGGCCACAGCGCCGTTTGGGATGTCGTGTCGCGCACCATGCTGATCTTGGGCGGCACACACGTGAGCGAGACCTACGGCGACATGTGGGCCTACGAGAGCACACGAAACCGATGGACACTGTGGCTTTCGAGCGAAGGGCCCGGGCCGCGTGTATACCACACTGCCGTATGGGACCCGCTGCGTCGGGCCATGCTGGCCTTCGGTGGAGAGCGTGGGGTGGACATCCTGGCGGAGCTCCACTACTTCAGCTTCGTGAGCCGAGCGTGGTGGCCTCTGACGACTGGCTTAGGGCCACGCAGCAAGCACACGGCCTCGTGGGATGCCGCCGCCCGGAGCATGTTGGTCTTTGGGGGCTGGGACGGGCAAACGTACCTCGCAAGCCTCCAGCGCTATGATGCCAACTCCGACCGCTGGGCCGAAGTCACAGCTGCCGGCACCGTGCCGTGGCCACGAGGTGGGCACGCTGCGGCTTGGGACCCTGCCTCTGCCAGCGTCCTTGTTGTAGGAGGTGTGCAGAACCGAAGCGACACGCTGAGCTTCAGTGACGACTTCTTTAGCTTCAGCGTCCTCACTGGCTTTTGGAACGAGCTTGGGCCAGGAGCTCCTGGCGCCACAGCCGATCTGCCCCCGGGCCCATCCCCGCGCGCTTCTTCAAGCATGGTCTTCGACACAGCCTCTCCAGCGTCGCTGCTCTTTGGCGGCTTCAATGGCTCCTACCTGGGTGAGACGTGGAGATACGTCATGACACCTACAGCTCCCACTCCAACTGTGCGCTGCCAGCTGGGCCAGCCTTGCCTGCCAGAAGGTACGGACGCTGGCAACCTGAACATGGACAATCTGTGGCTAAAAACAAGCTGCCAAAACTACCAGGGCTTGCCGCCTTTGGATGGCAGTCGCTTGTTTGTGGAGCCGGACAGCTACCAACTATGTTCCTGCGGTGGGAGTTCAGACTGCATCCTAGCGCAAGATCATACTGTGCCCGTTGGCCGTTTCATTGCCGAAGGGCCTTATGCCAACCAGTCTGCGCTTTGCTACATTGGCTGGAAGTGCACCGTCCCCGTCTGGATGGGCGTCGGCATCTCTACCAACGATTCCCTGATCGCACGGAATGACTGCCAAAAAATGCTTGCGTCAACGTATACCTTGGCTGTCACCATAAACGAATCTGCGAATGCTTTTAGCCTGGATGTGGGAATGATCGACTCGGCCGGAACAGCAGAGGTTGTGGAGCTTTGCTGGTGCCCCTTCAGCCATTCCTGCGATTCCGCGGAGGATGGGCTTATTTGTTTTTGGCCTATCATTGTGGTTATGCTTACTGTCGTTCTTCTTGTGCTAAGTAGCAGCTAATGTTTATTCTTGTTTTTCTGTTCATCATCCTGCAGGACTTCCAAGTAACAGCACTGCGCCTTCACATCCAGTGCCCGCCGGGGCAATACGAGCTCGAAGGCGCATGCCAGCTCTGCCCTGCAGACCAGTACTGCCCGGGAGGCTTGTGTCGCCTGCAAAAATGTCAGTTGCTGTACTTTCTTACTCTGATTATTTCTTATCGTTACCAATTACCGTTCTAGTTACCATTACTACTGTCGTTGCTTTCTGTTGAACATTTTCTCCGAAAGGCCAGCAGCCGCGAAGCTGCCCGCTCGCGAGCACAGCCTCCATCGGCTCCAGTCGGCCCCTGAGAGCTCTCAGGGCCACGCTCTTTTTCTTTTGACACCGTGCTACTTCTATTGTTTTTCCTACTCCTACGACGACGAGACGACGACGACGAGACGACGACTACGACTACGACTACTACTACTACTACTACTATTACTACTACTACTCACTACTCACTACTCACGACTCACGACTCACGACTCACGACTCACTACTCACTACTTACTACTCACTACTCACTACTCACTACTCACTATTCATTACTCACTACTCACTACTCACTAATCACTACTCACTACTCACGACTCACTACTCTCACTACTCTCACTACTCTCACTACTCTCACTACTCTCACTACTCTCACTACTCTCACTACTCTCACTACTCTCACTACTCTCACTACTCTCACTACTCTCACTACTCTCACTACTCTCACTACTCTCACTACTCTCACTACTCTCACTCCTCTCACTCCTCTCACTACTCTCACTACTCTCACTACTCTCACTACTCTCACTACTCTCACTACTCTCACTACTCTCACTACTCTCACTACTCTCGCTACTCTCCCTACTCTCACTACTCTCACTACTCTCACTACTCTCACTGCTGACTCTCACTACTCTCACTACTCTCACTACTCTCACTACTCTCACTACTCTCACTACTCTCACTACTCTCACTACTCTCACTACTCTCACTACTCTCACTACTCTCACTACTCTCACTACTCTCACTACTCTCACTACTCTCACTACTCTCACTACTCTCACTACTCTCACTCTCACTCTCACTCTCACTACTCTCACTACTCTCACTACTCTCACTACTCTCACTACTCTCACTACTCTCACTACTCTCACTACTCTCACTACTCTCACTACTCTCACTACTCTCACTACTCTCACTACTCTCACTACTCTCACTACTCTCACTACTCTCACTACTCTCACTACTCTCACTACTCTCACTACTCTCACTACTCTCACTACTCTCACACTACTCACACTCTCACTACTCTCACTACTCACACTACTCACACTACTCACACTACTCACACTACTCACACTACTCACACTACTCACATTACTCACACTACTCACATTACTCACACTACTCACACTCCTCACACTACTCACACTCCTCACACTACTCACACTACTCACACTCCTTCCACTACTCACACTCCTCACACTACTCACACTCCTCACTCCACTCACTCCACTCACTCCACTCACTCCTCTCACTCCACTCACTCCACTCACTCCTCACTCCACTCACTCCTCACTCCACTCACTCCTCACTCCACTCACTCCTCACTCCACTCACTCCTCACTCCACTCACTCCTCACTCCAGTCACTCCTCACTCCACTCACTCCTCACAACACACAACTCACAACACACAACACACAACACACAACACACAACACACAACACACAACACACAACACACAACACACAACACACAACACACAACACACAACACACAACCCACAACCCACAACACACAACACACAACCCACAACCCACAACGCACAACGCACAACGCACAACACACAACGCACAACACACAACACACAACACACAACACACAACCCACAACCCACAACCCACAACCCACAACCCACAACCCACAACCCACAACCCACAACGAACAACGAACAACGAACAACGAACAACGAACAACGAACAACGGACAACGGACAACGAACAACGGACAACGAACAACGAACAACGGACAACGAACAACGGACAACGAACAACGGACAACGAACAACGGACAACGGACAACGAACAACGAAGAACAACGAACAACCAAGAACAACGAACAACGAACAACCAAGAACAACGAACAACCAAGAACAACGAACAACCAAGAACAACGAACAACGAACAAAAGAACGAAGAACCAAGAACCAAGAACCAAGAACCAAGAACCAAGAACCAAGAACCAAGAACCAAGAACCAAGAACCAAGAACCAAGAACCTCACCAAGTCCATTAATGCGCGACGTCGCGTTATTAGAGTCGTCAGTGCAAAATATGAACAACCGCCGGGAGCAACGAATCCAACTGCTCAAGAAGTTCTTGCAAAAACGATGCCTTATCGCCCGGCGGTCTCACCTTGGACGCAGTGTGCACAACGGCTGAGGACGTCCCAGTAAAGGTCACCAGACTCTGAATGAAAGATCGCGTTCGCGGCCGATGACCTGACCCAACCGGTGCGTAGCTGCAGCAAATCGCAGCCGCAGGGCGGTGCTGGCCAACTGCATCAAAAACCCTGGGCTTCCTCAATAGGCGCTGAGTCAAACACGCCGTGTTGATCAAGTGATGCAACGAGGAGACGATGCTCGGCCGAAACGTCACGAAAGTCCAAAGTCAATGACTTGGCCAAATCTGCAACGTCAATTGAACGAGGTGCAGGATACTCTAAATCGCGGCACAGAGCACCGACAGGTCGATGAGGCAGTGATTGACTTGCCTCCAAAATCGGCACCGCTTCCTCTGCCACAGTGTCTCTGTAAGCTGATCTGCCTGCAAGCGGAGGATGTGGTGCTCTGTTACCTGACAGGGCCCTCGGCCTAGGAGGTGGGGGCTTAGGCGGGTGGGCAGTGCAGTTTCGGCTTTGGCCTTTGGAGCACCAGTTGCGCCCGAACCCGACCTAGAATCCTCTATATTCCTAGCTGCTCCGGCAGGTGCCGCGGGTCAGCTACTTAGCCCTTAAGGTTAGCGCCTGCCAGAGAAGAGGCTGAAGAAGAAGTAATAGATGAAGAAGGATGTGGCCTAGGCTGCCGGCTGCGCGATCGTGCAAGACTAGAAGAGGCCGTTTCGTCCTCCTCCTCGCTTGTCCACTCCAGCAGGGGCTCTCCCCTTTCGGCTGCGCGTTGCTCGGCTCCAACTCAGCACGCCTTCTGCGAATCCGATTCAGCCTTCTCTCACGCTGTCCCACAGATCCAGTGGTCCTTCCAGCCAAGTAGCCAGTGAGAAAAGTAAGGACGCCCCTCTCCTTCGGGCATAAACAGATTTTGCTTGGCCCCCCCTGCTTTGGACGCGGTCGTAAGGGTCCGCAAGTTCAGAGTTGTTCTCGGCCAAGAACTGCTCAAGACCCATGAGGTAGCGTAGCGTAGCGTCGCGGTCGCGGTGAAACAAAGAAGAGTGGTTTGTGTAGCACAGTAGCTGGGTTTCGAGTTGTATTCTAGCAATGGCTTACTTTTACACCCTGCAACAACCCCATAACCCCACTTAGCCTAGGATTGACTTCTCCCCTACCTCCGGTGGATTTCCCAACCAGGGTCTACAGTGCCAAGCACCGCCCAGTGGGTTTTCCACAAGGTCAACCTTTGATCGCAATAGCGCGCGGATACAGGCAATGTGCACAGAAGTTCAACCCGAAGGCTGAACTTATCCCTGTAAGGACTTGATTTGGGTATGATGCTGTCAGCAAAGCGGCAAGTGCCGTCAATGCTTCTTTGGATTAGTGGGGCTGCGGTTGCGGATGAGGAGAGGCCATGGGCCTGCAATCAACACACTCCGACAATTCCGAAATGTCGAATCCTTGAATTGATGCGATTCTGCTTTGGAATGGGCAAGGCTGTTTAGGCAATGCTGTGGTCCGGCAAGTGCCGTGACCACCACGGTTTGCCCACGAAAGTTGGATAAACCGGATTTCGAGCGCTATCTCTCGCTGAATGCGTGCTGACAAAGCACGTGCGAACCTAGACCAACGAGGAGACTGACCGTCGACTGCCCTTTTCTCTTGACCTTGTGCCTTGGCGAAAGGGTCCCAAACACAGGCCTGTTTTGGGTTCGTTTAGGCTGGTTGCTGGATGATGCTGTGCAAAGAAGCCCAAGCCTATGCCCACTTACTCCAAGCAAGACCTGAGGGATCACATCAGTCGACGTACTGAGCGGGCCCAATCTCTGAAGCAAGCTCTGACATTCTGGAGCAGTGTAGGGGTGAGGCCCAAATGCATAATGTCAATCAACAGATCCTGCTTAAGTCTTGTGAACTTTTTCCTGCTCGCAGACCCTCTAGCGACAAGCAGGGAGAACAGCCTGAAGTCCAAAACGCCATCACTAACCTGTGGACCAGCAAAGCCGAGCTTAGCAAGCCCCTGCCACAACCATTGTTCCGGAAAGCCAGTGCTGCTGTTCAGCGAGCCCAGCAGTTTCAGAGAGCCAGTCGAGAACTCAGAAAGCAGAGCCGCCTCGCTAGGAAGCAATGGTTGGTTGATTAGATTAGTCAAGCCGAAGCTGCTGCGAAATGACTATGCCGAGGTGTATAGGATCATGAATAGGGTTGCACCTAAGAAGCGTAGGGAACAGGTTCGAATAAAAGGTCAGCAAAACAGGGCTCTTGACGAAGCAGCAGGAGTTTGATAAAGTTTTTCTGTACTTCAGCTCGGCCTTTAAAGCTACCGCAGAGAATGACACACTGCCAGTGTGTTGCCTCCACTGGAAATTGAGCTTGCCCTTAAGACACTGAAGCGTGGTAAAGCGAGTCCCACTACGAGTGTGCGGCCGAAGTGTGGCAGCTTTGTCCCGAGCAATACGCCCAGCACCTTAGCTCGGTGCTCTTGCGTAGCGCCGCGACTGGCAAGCCTGTGCCAGCACAGGTGTCGCACTGTGAGCTATCCTTGTTGCCAAAACCAGGCAAGGACTCCTGCAGACCTCGTGACCTTAGACCACTTGGCCTTCAAGACCCCAGTTCTAAGGTTTACGCCGTCGCCATTAGATCCCGACTCCTTGAAATCATTATGCCCTACCTTAATGCAACGCCCCAGTTCGCACACATCCCTGGAAAAAGCATAGACCAGGCCATAGTTCGCGTCACACAGCGCCGCAGCCAGATCAGGAAGCGATTGCCCGAAGGAGCGTGCAACGTGCATCAGCGCCGTCAGGGCATCAGACCTGGCGCGTGCTATGGTGGCATCATGTTGTCGCTTGGCCTAAGCCGGGCTTTTGATTCCCTGACGCGCGCAGCAATGACCTCAGCCTTGTTGATGGCCGAAAGTTCCTCCCGCGCTGATGGATGCGGCCCTTTCCCTGCACTATTCCTGTAGGTACACTGTCAAACAGAACGCCTATAGTAAGAGCTTTCCCATGCAGGTTGGAGTTAGACAGGGCTGTGCACTTGCACCAACCATATACAGCTTGTTCACGGTACTCTTTTACCGGGAGTTAGCAAAATGCACTTCGCAGGCCTGGGCGGAGAAGTGCCTAACAATTTTCCCTGATGACAAGCATTTGCATTGGCAGATTGAATCTACAGGGGACCTTCAATTCGTTTGCCATTGCGTGCAGCAGACGTTTCGCCTTCTCCGCCAGTACGGCATGACGGTCAACTCCGACAAGTCGCGCCTCGTCGTTGCTCTGCGAACCTAGCGCATCTGTGGGTGTCTGAACATCCAGACTGAGCAATCCAAGCACCACAGTTGACTCAGCGTTCCATCCAGGGCATCTGCACCTTGAAGGTGCGAGTCTGCAAGAGCTTGTGCACACATGGACACGCCAATATGCCATACATGCGTTATGTCATCCACCAGAAATCGCGCTGCTTCAAAACTGTCGATACAGAGCAGATGGCATTATGGTCACTAGTCCCATTCCAATTGTGCCAGGTTCGCTCGTGCAGATGCCCGTTTTCAGTGACAGCGCAAGCACAGAGGTGCGAGCAGAAGCCTATCGGATTATTTGGGTTATCTTTCACATAGGGGAGAGGGTCACTTCGGGTCATTATCAGGCTGCCTTAAGTTTTCCCCATGGCCCCGATACCTGGGAATTCCGAATTTGTGATGATAACAAAGCCCCTAGGAAACCCCGCCCTGCCGACGCCAAAGTGATCCGAAATAATCCCTATTTGATCGGCCTTCTGCGATGCTCCTCACCAGGGGAAGCGCATAGTTCACTGTGAGTGGTCTTTACAGCAGCTGTGCCTCCCACTGGCGCTGCGTTCTTGCATCTGCCGAAGAGCGTGTCATGCCAGTTCCGGTGCCAAACAGATGGTATGTTACTGCTTGGGTTCTCCGAAGCGTTGCAACTTTAGTTAATGCCAAGCGTGATGCTCAATCTCACCTGCGTCCTCGTTCACACAGCATGCTCATTTCAATCAGTTCAAACGTTTCGTTTTCGTGCCATTTCTTCGGAGCATGGCAGCAGAGGGAACCGTGACTTCACTGACTCTCTTGAGGGGTCCCACGTGAAACTTTACAGCGACCCGGATTGTCGATGTGCATTTCCGTGATCAAAACACAGGCATTGTTGCTCTCTGTGTGTGATGCATCTGCGTACGACCAGATGCTGCAAGTTTGAGGCAGCCTCGCGAAAGATTCGCGTCGCCACATGCAGAGTGTCTGGCTGCTGGAGAAAGGTGCATTTGGGTAACCCATCATGCTGCTCGACTTGCATTTCCACGGCAAGGGTTCAGCGCTCCCAAGGCTGCTACAGTCGGCCGGAAATGCTAAAGAACACACCCAAGGAAGTGGCTCCAGGAACTTCTTCAGCTGCCCTTCATGATCCGAGCACAGATGCCCGTTCATCCACGGAGGGGAGTCGCAAGAGTACATTGAGCACACGAGTACAGTACGAAGACAAGCAGACGTGTATAGTGATTGATCTTGAAGCTTTTGATTGATCGAGCATCTGATTCGAGCAGCCCAGAGTTTTTGTACTTAGGAAGCGATTGTGAAGTGATATGAGAGCTATGCATCTGTCATAGTGCTGCTTCAAGCGGCCGGATCCGAGATCTGTCTCCCGTTCGTCGAGCACTGGTGGACCGTGCGACGCTGCTGAATGAATACTACTACTACTACTATTACTATTACGACGACTACGATTACGACTACTACTACAATTACTATTATTACTACTGCTACTACTGCTACTACTACTACTACTACGACCACTACTACTACTACTACTACTACTACTACCACTACTACTACTACTACTACTGCTACTACTACTCCTACTATTACTACTTCGACTACTACTACTATTACTACTACTACTGCTGCTACTCCTACTACTATTACTACTACTACTACTACTACTACTACTACTACTACTACTACTACTACTACTACTACTACTGCTGCTCTACTAATCTACTGCTTATGGTTAATCTGGGTGTAGGGGCGGGGATGGGGGCACGCCGGAATCCGGATTTCGTTTTCCAGGTAGGAATCCTTTAACTGAAGGAAAAGAGGGGCCGGGGGTTGGATTGAGTGTTCGTGTAGCATCTGGTGTCTTATTTTCACTACAGAATATAGTGAACTCCAGAAAGTTGGAACATGAACTTAGGATGGTTAGTGCCTGGTTTCCCTATACTTTACCTTAAGAGTATTGGGGTAACGATGTTCCAATTTTCTGGAGTTAACTGTATTCTCTTTCAAAGCGCAGCGTACTATTGCAGAAAACCCTGGCTCTGCCAAGGCGAGCTTTCGCACTGCGTCTGCCTTCGCGGACGCTACTGGGACGACGGCACATGCGCCCTTTGCCCGTACGGCTCCACGACCGCGCAGAATGGCGTGGCTTTTGCTGAAATCTTTGCAACACCGTGTAATGATAATGCTATTGCATTGTACCTTTTCTCCTCGTATGGACAAAGTCAAAAAGGGGTTCGTGCTGGCTATGGCCTGAGGCGACCTCGGTCACATCTTGCGCGTGTTTGCCGGACTTTGCCAACACGAATCCGGAGACGCCTCGTAGTGCTGGTAGTCCTGGTCGTACTGGTAGTACTGGTAGTCGTCGTCGTAGTAGTCGTAGTAGTGGTAGTACTGGTAGTACTGGTAGCACTGGTAGTACTGGTAGTCGTCGTCGTAGTAGTCGTAGTAGTGGTGGTACTGGTAGTACTGGTAGTACTGGTAGTACTGGTAGTACTGGTAGTAATGGTAGTACTGGTTGTACTGGTAGTCGTCGTAGTAGTAGGAGTAGCAGCAGCAGTAGCAGCAGCTGCAGCAGCAGGAGACGCCCTGGATTTGCGACTGCGGGCCGGGTTTTGGCTTTGACGTGGAGCGAGGAGTCTGCGAAGTCTGTCCAGTTGGGTGTCCTGGCCAAATTGATCCTTAGAGCCTTAGGACCTGTTTGCGTGCTGCGTGGAGCGCTTGTTCTGCAACTGTGCGAGAATTCCTGCAGCCCACTGCGCCGTAGAGAATCGTAGAGGGAATTCCATCTTTATTTTGAGATTTTTTTTTTTTGGGGATCTTTTTTTTTACGGCAGAAAGGAAGCAAGGGAGGAAGGAAGGGAGGAAGCAAGGGAGCAAGGAAGCAGGGGAGGAAGCAACAAAGGCAGCAAGGAAGGAAGGAAGGACGGAAGGAAGGAAGGAAGGGAGGAAGGAAGGAAGTCAAGCTTGCTTCAATTAATATGAGGTTTTTTGAAACCCATCATGCGGGCATTCTGTTTGCAAATGGGCGGGGGGGCTGCGCCTCCCCCAACCCCCCCATGCGGGCATTCTGTTTGCAAATGAGGGGGGGGGGTGCGCCCCCTCCCCGCCCCCTCAATTTGCAAATGGGGGCTGCGCCCCAACCCCCCCCCCACCCCCCCCTCCCAACAACCCCCCCCCAACCCCCGCCCCCCGCTATTGTAAGCCGTGCAAGTCTGCTTCAAATATGAGTTTTTTTTTTTTTAAACCCATCATGCGAGCGTTGAGTCTGCAAATGGGGGGGGGCTGCGGCTCCCCCCAAACCCCTGCTTTTTTAAGCCGTGCAAGCTTGCTTCAATTCATATGAATCTTTCTGAAACCATCATGCGGGAATTCTGTTTGCAAATGGGGGGGGGGGGGCTGCCCCCCCCCCCCCCCCCCACCCCCCCGCTTTTGTAAGCTGTGCAAGCTTGCTTCAAAGGATATGCGTCTTTTTGAAAGCCATCGTGCGGGCATTCTGTTTGCAAATGGGGGGGGGCGCCCGCCCCCAGCCCCCCCGCTTTTTATATAAGCCGTGCAAGCTTGCCTCAAAGCATATGAGTCTTTTTGAAACCCATCATGCTGACGCACGGGGCTAAGGCTAGAACGCGACTTGTAGCACAACAGCTGTGGTTGTTACGCGTGAAAACACATGCAAACAATGGTTTTCCGTCTGAAAGCACACCTAAACTATGGTTTTTCAATTGCACGGAGTTGAGGCCAGAACGCGATGTGTAGCTCTGCGCAGCATAAGACCTATTGTTTTTCGTGTGAAAACGCACCAAAACCATGGTTTTGCGTATGAAAGCACACCAAGACGATGGTTTTTCGTATGAAACACACAAAAACTAGATATTTCGCCTGTCTTTTTTCGTATGAAAACACACCAACACTATGGTTTTTCGTATGAAAGCACACCAAAAACAAAATACATCTTTGTGAAACCCATCATGCTGACGCACAGGGCTACGGCTAGAACGCGACTTGTAGCACAACAGCTGTGATTTTTCGCATGAAACACACCCAAACAATGGTTTTCCGTCTGAAAGCACACCTAAACTATGGTTTTTCAATTGCACGGAGTTGAGGCCAGGACGCGATGTGTAGCTCTGCGCAGCATAAGACCTATTGTTTTTCGTCTGAAAACACACCAGAACCATGGTTTTTCGTATGAAAGCACACCAAGATGGTTTCTCGTATGAAACACACACAAAAACTAGATATTTCGCCTGTCTTTTTTCGTATGAAAACACACCAACACTATGGTTTTTCGTATGAAAGCACACCAAAAACAAAAAAACCCAAAAAAACAAAAATTTTGATTTAATTTCGCGTCCTTTTGTAGGTGCTCTCAAACATGTCTACAACATGCCCTTGTGTTATTGCAGATCTGCGTGCGTACATTGTGTTTTTTCTGGGGCTCTGGACAGGTTTTGTCTGTTTGGGTTCTAGCAGGTCTTTCAAGCCTGCTGCCGGCAACATGCTGTGTTCAACTTGCCCGAGCGACCGGTCCACCCTGCGAACAGCTGCTAGATCTTCGACAGAGTGCCTTTGCCGAGCAGGCCTCGCCCAAGATGGGGAAACCGGGGAAATCTGCGTGGATTGCCCGGGAGGTTTCTACTGCAATGGCACAGGCGTTGCGCTGCAATGTCTGGAGGGTGCTACCTCAAGCACAAGGTCAACGTCTCTTGAGGACTGCCTCTGCGGCCCAGGCTTATTCAAAAATCAGATCACGTGCGATCCTTGCCCACAAGGAAAGTACAAGCAAGACAGTGGCAACGCAGCATTCTGCATCGGCCAGTGTCCATCAAACAGCCTTAGCAAGGAGGGATCCAGAAGCCTAGCAGACTGCTCATGTACAGAAGGCTATTATGCAGAGCTTGATTCCGAAGGCAGGCTTTCCAGATGTGCCAGTTGCGCCGGCCTGACTCATTTCCGATGCGATGGTGGCTTCCGCGAAGAGAACGGGACAGACTTCCACATACTTCCCCTCGCCCGAGCTGGCTTCTACCAGACGGGCATCTTGACAGCCTATAAATGCACTGTTGTTGCTGAGGATGGCTTGAGTGCATGTCTCGGTGGAGTAACGTGCTCAGACAATGACAAGCACGGCGAGTCCAACAGCCTTGAGCACTGCATGGAGGGTGCCGTGGGGAATCTTTGCGCGCCTGGATCTACAGGCATGCTGTGTGGCGAGTGCCCTGTTGGTTGGAGCAGGCACAACCTGCAACAGCCCTGCCTGCCCTGCGCCGGGGCCACGCTCTCGATGACTTCATCCATTGTGGCAGATGTATCACTGAAGGCATGGAAGTCCAACGAAGTTCACAGAGGGGCAATCAATTCAATATTTGTTGCAAAAACCAAACAATAAAGTTAACAGCAAGAAGAGCTATGCAGCTATGCCTGACTTGGCGTATTCACGCGTAAGCTATGAAGGTAAATTAGACCATATGAGACCACCGCCAACCATTGACTTACACGATGCTGCCGGCTGAAACCAAGAGCCTCAATCTTTTTTTCTTGAGATTCCCCACGAAGTCCCGCGAACATTGAGTCTGGATGAAGGCCATGATCAGCTTCATTGTGGCCTCCATGGCAGCCACCGCTGCCATACGGGGCAGTGGCAAGCTCCATACCAGTATGCTGCTTGCTTGTCTTTAGTTACGAATGGATGCTACCGTACCAGACTAGACGAGCTTATTACTGAGCGAGGCTACGGATGGCCAACCAGTGGGTCGCCGCCTGCTCTGTCCTTTTGGTCTTTGACTTAGATGGCGTGCGGTCTCTTCTTTCAGCCGGGGAGCCGAGCCAGGTCCGCTGTCATCCTTCCTCCATTACGCGTATTGTAGAACTGTAGAAATATATACACATGAATGAAAAGTGTGTTTTTTTCCTACTCCCCTTCTGTTTAAGAGCTGCAGAACAGGCCTTCGCGCCGCGTTTGGCGTGGCCGCAAGAGGTGAGTTTGGCCATGGCCGGCGTGCCTAGGTTGCTGTGATGAAGTACTGTAGTAGTCGTCGTCGTCGTAGTCGTAGTCGTAGTAGTCGTAGTCGTAGTAGCAGTAATAGCAGTAGTAGCAGTAGTAGCAGTAATAGCAGCAGTAGCAGTCGCAATAGTAGCAGTAGCAGTCGTAGCAATAGTAGCAGTAGTGGAAGTAGCAGCAGTAGCAGCAGTAGCAGCAGTAGCAGCAGTAGCAGCAGTAGCAGTAGTAGCAGTAGTAGCAGTAGTAGCAGTAGTAGCAGTAGTAGCAGCAGCAGCAGCAGCAGCAGTAGCAGCAGTAGCAGCAGTAGCAGCAGTAGCAGCAGTAGCAGCAGTAGCAGCAGTAGCAGCAGGAGCAGCAGTAGCAGCACTTGCAGCAGTAGCAGCAGTAGCAGCAGTAGCAGCAGTAGCAGCAGCAGCAGCAGCAGCAGCAGCAGCAGCAGCAGCAGCAGCAGCAGCAGCAGCAGCAGCAGCAGTAGCAGTAGCAGTAGCAGTAGTGGTAGCAGTAGCAGTAGCAGTAGCAGTAGCAGTCGCAGTAGTAGCAGTAGTAGCAGTAGTAGCAGTTGTAGCAGTAGTAGCAGTAGTAGCAGTAGTAGCAGTAGTAGTCGTCGTCGTCGTCTTCGTCGTCTTCGTCGTCTTCGTCGTCTTCGTCGTCTCGTCTCGTCTCGTCGTCTCGTCTCGTCTCGTCTCGTCGTCTCGTCTCGTCTCGTCGTCTCGTCGTCTCGTCGTCTCGTCGTCTCGTCGTCTCGTCGTCTCGTCGTCTCGTCGTCTCGTCGTCTCGTCGTCTCGTCGTCTCGTCGTCTCGTCGTCTCGTCGTCTCGTCGTCCCGTCGTCCCGTCGTCCCGTCGTCCCGTCGTCTCGTCGTCCCGTCCTTCCGTCGTCCCGTCGTCTCGTCGTCTCGTCGTCTCGTCGTCTCGTCGTCTCGTCGTCGCGTCGTCGCGTCGTCGCGTCGTCGCGTCGTCGCGTCGTCGCGTCGTCGCGTCGTCGCGTCGTCGCGTCGTCGCGTCGTCGCGTCGTCGTCGTCGTCGTCGTCGTCGTCGTCGTCGTCGTCGTCGTCGTAGTAGTAGTAGTAGTAGTAGTAGTAGTAGTAGTAGTAGTAGTAGTAGTAGTAGTAGTAGTAGTAGTAGTAGTAGTAGTAGTAGGTAGTAGTAGTTAGTAGTAGTTAGTAGTAGTTAGTAGTAGTTAGTAATAGTTAGTAGTAGTTAGTAGTAGTTAGTAGTAGTTAGTAGTAGTTAGTAGTAGTTAGTAGTAGTTAGTAGTAGTTAGTAGTAGTTAGTAGCAGTTAGTAGTAGTTAGTAGTAGTTAGTAGTAGTTAGTAGTAGTTAGTAGTAGTTAGTAGTAGTTAG